TCAACCCTGAATGCTCACTTGAAGGACAGATCCTGAAGCTGAGGCTCCAGTACTTTGGCCATCTCATGAGAAGAAAAGAGTCCTTGGAAAAAACCTTGATGTTAGGAAGGTGTGATGGCAAGAGGAGAAGAGGACGACCGAGGATGAGATGGCTGGACAGTGTCTGCGAAGCAACCAACATGAACCTGACACAACTCCGGGAGGCAGTAGAAGACAGGAGGTCCTGGCGTGCTCTGGTCCATGGGGTCACGAAGAGTCGGACACGACTAAACGACTAAACACACACATGTAGAGTAGCGAAACAGTATTGGAAAAGAGTACATGCTGTGTTGTAACAAATATTGCTTTGTAAGGTACCATTAATCCCAGAACTGTTTTTATTGAGTATGATACCTGATAACATCGATAAACAAAGGAGTACGTATATAGTTACAGTGGTGCCTCACACAACAAGCGCCCCGTAAAGCGATGAATTCGCTCTACGAGGACGTTTTTTCAATCGCTAATGCGATCGCAGAGCGATGGCCTCTATGGCCGAAAATCGCACAGCGAAGGTCGGTAAGCGTTTTGCTTACCGACCAGCACTTTGCGACCCGCCGATCAGCTGTTCAGCGGGTCCAAAATGGCCACTGGAAGCCCCAAAATGGCCGCGCGCAGCGTTTTTGCACCCTCGTTAAGCGAGGGGAGGGCGCAAGAATGGCTGCTGGCCATTGGAAAAGCATCGCTGTACGGTGAGTAAAGCTGCTATTGGAACGCATTAAACTAAGTTTAATGCATTCCAATGGCTTTTTCCTTCCCGTACAGCGATGCTTTCACACAGCGAGGGTTAATCCGGAACAGATTAACCTCGCTGTGCGAGGCACCACTGTATATACATAGTCACTGCAGCCAGAATTCTTTATGCCAAAAATTGGAAAAGTCCAACGGTACTGAAACAAGAAGATTTTATAGAGAAGATACGAGAAACAGCAGAAATGGACATTTTATCAGAAGTGATGAAGGACTGTCCTTAACAAAAGGCAACTGAAAGATGGGACTTATTCTATAAATGGATTGAGTCAACAGACATCGTATAAAGAGCATACATTGAAATGAGAATTTAAATCTGGAAGGCAGAAAATAGTAAAAAGAGCAATTTGGATTTTTGACATGGCAATATGTATAGAATGGATGTTAGTATGTTATTGTTTCTCCTTTTCCCCCTTAACCTCAATTCCCTTTTTCCTTTCTGTCACCCTTTGTTAAAAATAAAATTAAAAAAAAAGAAAGAAAAATGAAAAAGGTTTACTTCACATAAAGTTTTGTGAACTGTAGCTCAGTTCTTTGGAGGCACCCTGATGAAGTCTCAATTCCCTTTTTCCTTTCTGTCACCCTCTGTTAAAAATAAAATTAAAAAAAAAAAGAAAAATGAAAAAGGTTTACTTCACATAAAGTTTTGTGAACTGTAGCTCAGTTCTTTGGAGGCACCCTGATGAAGTAACCTACTGTCCAAAAAAATTATTCCAGATAAACCCGGTTGATTTTGAAGGTGTCACCAGATTGTTATTCTTGAAGGCAAGCAGTTTTCCTGTTTTTCATGCATAGGTGCTGCTGCCTGTAGAACCCGACTGTTGCCCTCTTTTTTTTCTTTTTTTCCCACCTCCATCCTCATTTTTCTTTCTCTTTCAGTACAGTATTTTCATGGGGGGAAAATAACTTCAGTAGGGAAGTAATTAGCACAGAGCTCATATCTGGATTATGGTCCTGCAGCGGTTTTATTTCAAAATGAGTGGTAGCGTTAGCACAGTTATTTACGTGCAAAGTTAAATTAATACCTAACTTAATTAACAATGTAGAATTTTGTCCTCATCCCCACTATATACCTTCTGAGAACCCTGACTGTTACTCCCAAGCTAATTCCCTCCTCCTGCTCTTTCAATACTATGTACAGATCTCCACAGCACTTTCGAGCTTGGCTGCTAAATTCTGCAAACATTTTTTGCACTGGTGATTACAAAAATCCTTAAAAAAAATTCGTAGGTTACTTGCATACACAGTGGCCAGAGTTCTAGTGGGGATTTACTCTGGTGTAAGTGTAACTGCATAAACTGAAGTGGCAAATTGCTACTAAATAGCAGGTTGCTGTTCACGTTCCTGGTCATGTACCAAGTTACGTGAGTGGCAACTTGTTACTTACTGGTAATTTGCTACCGTGGTTTATGCTACTGGTTCTTAACCTTGGGTTACTCAGGAGTTTTGGACTGCAACTCCCAGAAGCCTTCACTACCAACTGCGCTGGCTGGGGTTTCTGGGAGTTGCAGTTCAAAAGCATCCGAGTAACAAAGGTTAAGAACCACTGGTTTATGCAATCACATGTATGTTGGCATAAATCCCAAATATGACTCTGGATATTTTCATTTCTTTTTAAAAAATCCATGTAATGTCAGATAAGCAAACTCAAGCAATTATGGCTCCTCCTTTCCATGAAAAACGAGGAGGGGGGGATGCATTAATTTTTCTTCTTTTAACAGAAAGGGAGCTACGCCTTCATCATGTCAAATCACACACCAGGCATATGACTGTAACTAAAAGAACATGGAGAGAGAGAGAGAGAGAATTCACAGACCAAATAGATATCGTCTTAAAACCAGAGAGAAACATCTTTGCAGGTACTGGTGTGCTTGCAAGCCTACTTAGAACCTAACCTCTTTAGCAGCTATGTGTAGCCGAGGGATTTCCTTACCCTTCAAAAGACTCATTCTTATCTCATTCCGTGGAAGACACGGTCCAGCCCTCTTCACAGTTGACTGTGGCTCTGGTGAGACTGCTGAGCAAAAAACAAAACAAAACTTTCATGTAAGTGGTTTCCAAATAGTAGACAAGTCAAGACTTCACAGTATGGTGTAGAAACCTGTTTTGGGTGTGGGGAGGATCGGTATAGATTTCTGTTGGGCAGGGGAAAGGAATTTAGGAGTGGGCAGCAAGACTGTACTACAGCTAGGTTCAAAAACCTTCCCCTTAATATATTTAGATACTTTAAAAAGGGGGAAAGTAGTAGATTTCAGAGGATTCCACACAGTCATGTATTTTTTTTACCTCACAGCAACATAGCATCCATTTGACCCCAAAGAATAATCTCTTATATTGTGAAACAAGTTGGAGCAACTATTGGCCCTCCTTTGACAGTGTCTATGGAATGAAGTCATCCACTGGGAGTCCCTGTGTGATTTCTCATCCTGTATATTCATTTTATACTGGATATCCTTTTTTTAAAAAAACTCTGCTACTATGAATTGTCAGAAATAATTTAACTCAAATGGCTACACTGGTCTTTTCTTGATGTGCAGCTGAAAGGAAGGGGTGGAATCCAAATTAAAGATTCACCCTTTGGGCCAATTCAGACTTGTCACAAAGCATGGTGTGCCTTTTTCATTGAAGCATCCTACACTGATTTCTGCAAATCATCATGGCCAAAAGGGTTGTTGGGATATTACACACATTCACCAGGACTTGGGTAAGTTGTCAATGTTTTTTATTTATTTATTTATATCCCACCTATCTAGTCGGTTAAGACCACTCTGAGCGGTTAAGACCACTCTAGGCGGCTCATTGATCATGCACTGGATGCATGCTGGTTGCATTCTTTGATACTCATCAATGAACTGCAATTACTTATGTGATTCCTTTTGCAAATTTTGGACAGTGTTTTCTCCAACCAGGCTCAAAAATAAGAATGAAATGATGATTTGAAATTCTGTTTCTAATTTGATATGCCCATTGGGAATGAGGAGGAGAAATTAGAAGTAGGCGTTCTGATTTATTTTCCTATATGACGGAAGCTTGAGTAAGGAATAAGGTGAAAATGTCCAAGGCTGAGGTTAACTACAGCTTGTTATAATTATAATTATAAAAACAATTATATAATTATAAAAGTCATAATTTATTGTTATATTTTAACTTGGTTATATTTTCCTAGGAAAATATGTGGGAACAAATTTTAATTTCTAAAGATGTCATAGTAAGGTAGTTCAGAACTTGGGGGCCTCTGGCTGGGGTCAGGGCAGCTGAAATTCTGTCTTTAAAAATCAAATCTCTTTCTATAGAGTGAACCCTGCCATTACCTATAATTCTCTTTCAATCTTCATATGTGTAAAGAAAACAAAGTTTTATTTTACAGTAATGTTTAAACCTCCTGAAGGAGGCTGAGTAGCTAATTGCCTGGAAGTCACCATGAATTTTCATTGCTCATGAAATTCCTTTTATAATTACTTTTTGTGTCAGGTTTTGGTGGATTCAAGGACGTCAACAGAGCCCCTTGAAAAAGTCTGGAGACCTCACTGAGGAATTGAGTGACGACACCCTCACTGCTGGCCAAATTGAATTCAAGAGTTGGAGGAATGTCCAGTTTTCCAGGAGGATGAAGTTGATGCAGTCCCTACAAGGAAGAGAAAACACAGGAATCACAAAGTGTGACCACCCGATGGGAGTAGAAATAGCTTGTTAAGAGACAGTGGCTCTTAGAATTCTTTGGTTTGGAACTCCACTTTTTTTTCCTCTTGCCCATTCTAGTAGAATGACTCTCTTGATTCTCTTAGGCCCTCCATTACTCTACCTACTTGTTCCCCAAGAACAGTAAAATCAGGTGACTGAACCCTTCTCCCCCCCACCCCCATCTGTGGCTCAAGGAAATAAAAAGAAAAAAGAAAAAAGCAAGCAAATGGAAGAACATACCTAACAGCCCTTCAACCATATCAGATAAAAAGAAAAAGAAAAAAAGAGAGACATAAGCATTGTGGCACCTTAAAGGCTAGCCATTAGATATTAATGTAAGCTTTTGTGGACCTTCTTAGCTCATTTCGTCAGGCCAATGAGGTGGAAAACAGGGATTAAGGCCTCCTCCCTCCCACAATCTCCCTCTCAGAGAGAGCACTTCAAGAGGGAGAGGGAGGGAGAACGGGTCATAGAAAGAGTGAAGGATTGTGCTGAATGAATTCAAAGCTTTGGAATAAACAACATTAACGCTGTTGTTTTAATAAAACCTTATTTATTATATTCGAGTGCTGCTGAGGTCAGTACCCATGTTTTAATAAAACCTTATTTATTATATTCAAGCAGAGTGCTGCTGAATTCAGCACCTGAGGGCTGGCTATGTAGAGAGTGTTATAAGGGGCCTGAGTAAAGGAGGAAAGACATGCATAGCACATGTCTAAAGGTTTCTGACACCAAAATAGGAAGAGAGGGAAAATGACAAATATTAAAGAAAACATGCTTGCTTCTGTGGTGATTTAAAGAGACCGTTATCTGAACATTCAAAGGACAAGGCAAAGGGAAGCTAGCCACTAATATCAGAGAGGAGGGTGTGACACTCTTCCATAGGGGTATAAGTGATATATATTTATCCATGCTGCATTCCTACACAGCTTTTTCTCCAGTTACGTGGGATATCACAAGCAGGAACTGGAAAGAGGGAATTATTGGATTAGCCCATTATGCTGAAGTGGCTGCCTCAGTCCAGTGGGTTTGGCTGTCATGAAAGGGCAGAACATTAGTAGCTACTTAAACATATTCATGTTCTACTTCTAAGGGGCAGTGGGTGGCCATCGTTAACATGGGCTTTCAAAAGAATTTTGACATAGTTCCTTACCAGAGACATCTGAACCAATTTAGCAGTCATCCTGAGGTAAGACAAGAGGTTCTTTTATGGATAGGACACTGGTTAAAGAAGCAGAGAGTTGGAAATCAGCAATCAATGGACTCACAATGGACATACATAGATAATTGGGGGAGCCCAAGGATCTATATTGGTGCTTTAGCAGGTCTATTAGAGAGCTGAATGAGCAGCAGGATGTGGTAGCTGACACCGAAAGAAGGACAACAAAGAAGTCCAGAAGGAAATATATGATCTGCAGAGAAAATGGGTCTTGAAACAGTAAGGGCAGAATCAATGAGCAAACATAAACTGCCATCCACTGGGTCAAAACAAATTCCAGCTTGACCGATGTGCTGGTGGTAGCTGAACTGGAAGTGACCAGCTAGGAAAAGAATCTAGACTTCATACCGGATGTGCTGGCTTTAATCCACTTTGCATGGTATGTGTGCCTAGCCAGATCGTTTTACTAATCTCCAGTCACTTAGAAATTTTCAGCTTTATGCAAGAACTTAAATGGCCACTGAAAATATTAAAATGGGGCAGAAGATGACAGAGGACCAACTGATTAGAGGAATTATAGGCTGTTCGAGAGTACAAAAGTAACAAGGAGTTGTGGCCTTCCAGACAGCAGTTGGGCAAAGTAGTGAACGAGAACCAAGCCAGAAAAGAAACCTCTGCCAGGGATGATGAAATTAACTAAGGCAACTATGCACCTGCACAAGAAGGGTGAAACAGAGACAGAGAAAAAAGCCAGAACAAGACAACATGTGATCATTTGGCCCTCTTGGGAAAGAACAATGGGTAGTGCAGTGAAAATGTCAACCTAGGGTGTGGTGGTTGCAAAAAAAGGTACAATCCTTGTTAGGGATCATGGTAATAAAACGTCAGTATCATGCTCTCTTTATACAACTCTATGGTGCACCTACACTTCAGTATATAGTTCTAATCACCATGCCTCAAACAGAACTGCTGAGCTGGAGAAGATGCAGAAGAGGGCAGCCTATATAACGGTCAAGAAAAGCTACACTTTGTGGATGGGTTATCCTTGACAAAAAGTGGGAATGATGGAAAATGATGAAGTGTATGATATTATGCATGGGTATGGAGAAAGAAGAAGGTTTTCCTGCTACCACTTGTAGCACTAAGAACTGAAGCTGAATGACTGGAAATGCAAGAGGAAAAAAAGAGGTGGAGAAAAAGAAAAAAAAGGAAGCACGTTCTCACACAGTGCATTGTTGAACTGTAAAATACACGATCACAAAGCGAAGTGTTGGTCTCAAAGTTATGAGGCTTTCGTGTTACCATAAATAGGAGAAAACATGGAAGAGGCGCTTCTTTTGTGATTCATGTTTCTTTTGTGGCTTTCTGGAAGAAAACCTCTAAAACAAGGATCATCTTTGTTAACAGAAGAAGAATGCATGGAAGTTGCATATTCTTCTGTGTTTCCCTCTTCCATGCAATTTCCCCTTCACTCCGTTGTGTGTAAAATTACCCTGGAAATTATTTTTACAGAATAGCATTGCAGGAGCAGATGTCAGCAGACTGTCAAGAAGGGGTGACGGCAAGGATTTTAAATTGGACTGGTTGGGACCCAGTAAGAAGGAAGGCTCTTTTCCTTCCTTCCTTCCTTCTTGGGAATCTGCACCCTCACTCTCTTCTCTGTCTCAACCACCTGCAGCAGTAGAGCAGCACGAAGTGGGCACCTTCGTTACCGCCAGATAAAAGGAGTGTGAGAAGAAGAGGGAAATGGGCAAGAAGGAGAAGGCTAAGGAGTCAGTTCTCCCGTCTGTCCCATGGGAGGAAGAAAAGAGCCAGGGAAACAACACAGACATGGTGCAGAAAGGGGAGAATGGTGGCCACGGCTTCTTTGGAGCCTAACCGCTCAGGGTGCCCATCTCTTCTCACTCCCCACACCCAGGGTGAATAGTACAGTATATGGAAGAAGTGTGGCGGCAGCACAGAAAGCCTGAGGAAGGCAGGGTTGTTGTTTTTTATGGGAGGGGGTGGAGGTGGGCAACTTGAGAGGAGAAAGAGAAGGACGAGAACCTGAAATAAACCAAAAACTGAAGTTCTTGCCATTCAGATTCCTGCTGGTCTCCAGCATTCATGGTTTTAAAAGGCAGATTCACAGAGGATAAACACTACCCATGCCTACTAGTCATGATGGTTACTATATTATCTCCAGCATCAGAGATATTGTTATTTGGTATACCAGCTGCTAAGGAATGTGAGCAGAGGCATCACTGTGCCTCATGTCCTGCTTGTGGGCTTCCTCTAGGCAACTGGTTGGCCAGCGTGCAAACTGAATGCCAGGATAGGTGGGCCTTTGGCCCAATCCAGCCAGAGCACTTCTGATCTACTGTGGCTAATGGATAGGAACAGCTTCCACCACCCGGCTCCTGTGTGTATATACCTCCAGAAATGTGATATCATCTGTACAAGCCAATAGTTTTTCTGCCTTCGTATTGTGTTGGGTAAACACGTCAAGCTGGTGCTGCACTTGATCCCAATTCTCTTCCATCTGGCCGAGGGTACGAGCCTGCTCGTTTTCAATTCTCTCCATTGCCTTCCTTTGGCATTCCTTCAGGGCCTCCACAAGATGGCCGAACTTTTGCAAAACCCCTGATTTGAACTTTTCTCCGGAATCCTGTATGAACAGGGGAGAAAACAAAATCCAAAGCAGGAGATTATTTCCATCCTAGCAGCAGTTAATTCCCTCACCACTCTGCATTCCTTAAGCTGAGCATAGACTGAGAATCAAAGGAGAAAGGGGAGGGTGACCTTTCCTTGGCAGGCAGGAGATGGTAAAGGAGGGGAAATAGAGATGCTTAGCAGCTGTGAATTTTTACTGTTCTCTCCACTAAAGGAAAATGGATAGAGAACAGGCTATTTCTACAGAAGGCACTTGTTTTATTGGGGGTGGGATCCATGAACTCTACCTTAACACTGGATATCTGCTGCTCCATTTTCTGGGTTTCCTCCTTCAGCCTTTCTGCCTCCTTCTGAGTTTTCCTCAGTGTTTCTTTTACAAGCTCCTGAGAAGGAAGGAAGGAAGTTAAAATATGCAAGCACTCAATTTTGTCCCTGGTACTTCACAACACAAGTTCCAGTTTGGACAGAGCGACAGATGAAGACTCTCAGGACACCTTGGTTCAAATTCTTCCTTGGCCATGATATGTCACTGGGTGGGTTGGCATGGCTCTGCTAAAGCCACTCCTTAAACATCTCAGATATATCTTGAAAACCTTATTAGGATCACCATAAATCATATGTGAATTGATAGCATGCAACAACAAACTTCTCAACTTATGTCATGTCCATATAACACTGGGAAATTATTCCAGATGTGTCATGTCTTTGTTTCTGTGGAAGGACCTCACAGTTCTATCAATACCCCTAAGCTGCTGCATGTACAAGACGGCCAAGTTTGAGGAAGTGGTAAAAAATTCAAGAAGCCAAATAGGCCTACGGAGGCACAACTTACACTAGCGTCAAACTGCGCTGAACCATGGTACCAGACAATAGTTTGCAGCTATAATGTACGATTCTGGTCAATAACTCATGAAGTGTGAGGTAGGAAAGTTGGTAGAAAAGGGGGTAATAGTTTAATTTCCTGTTTGTGAGCTCAATATCTAATAAGTGACTAGCAGTTAAACTTTTTCTCTTACCCTTCCCATCTCAATGATCAAAGTAAAGCTGCACACAATACAACATTTCACACAGTATACGATTCTTCAACAGCTCATTAGAACACATTTATTCTGCATTATCTGTATCTGTTTTATTACATTCATGACTGCTCTCACAGATTGTCAATTAAATCTAGCTTGCCAAGTTGCTGACAATTTTGTTAGAATGCCTTGAATGCCCAGAAGAAAGGGTCATGTTAATTCTGAAGTGAAGAGTACAGTAGATGTGCCCTTAAACAACAAATCTGTTATTGTTGATGCCTTTGCCAAATTTCATTAGAGACAAATGCTGACATTCAGCACATGGAATTTTTTCCCCACCAAAGCATTATCATGCTGGGAACCAGAGAACCTAGGTGGTCTCTCGGCCACAGTGCCTCCTGCTGAATAGAAAAGAACCAACCTACTGAGACTTGGATACATGTGCCTTATAGACATGCAATGTGTTTGGACATATCCCAGTTCTAGGCTAAGGCGCCCTATGCAACTGGACAAAAGATCAGGACGCACAATGGGCACATGATTTTAAAATGGGAACTATAAAGATGTTTGTCACCATCATCTCAATAAGAGACATAGCCATGTGCTGCTGAGAAAGCAATGGCTTAATCTTCCACGCAAACAGACATGCCTTGGCCCACGGACAGAAGTTTTCAGTTGGTGTAACCTGGGTAGAGTGAGGGTAGCAAGGGGAAGTGAGGACTAGAAACCGGGCCTTCTTGGTGGTCGTTCCCCAACTTTGGAACGGCCTCCCGCCTGAAATCCGCCTGGCCCCTTTACGGGAAACTTTTAAGCGATTGTTAAAAACATGGTTTTGTTAAGACAGGCCTTTCCTAATACAGCGGTGCTCTTAACACACACATTATCAATCCTGCCGCCTTGCTTTTTATCCACATTATCAATCCTGCCGCCTTGCTTTTTTATCTTATCATTTTAGTTAGTATTAGTTAAATTCTGTTTGTGTGTTTTATTTAATTTTGATTTATACCATTTTGGTTTTTTGTTTTAATGGTATTATTAGTTAAATTCTGTTGGTGTGTTTTATTTAATTTTGATTTATAACATTTTGGTTTTTTGTTTTAATGTTTGCTCCATGATATGTGGTTTAATTGTGTAAACCACCCAGAATATAAAAGTCAAATAGACAGACAGACAGATAGATAGCATAGGTAAATTGAGGCACAATACAGTTGTGAACACATTCTTATATAAACCTCCATCTCCTCTGCCGCAAAGTAGCCATGGACTCAGACAGGGCAAGTGCAGTCGAGTGAGGCCAATGATTGGAATGGGAGGAAAGAGAGATGTATATATAGGGTGGCCAGACCTCCATAAACACCCAACCCTGTCTGGGCATGCCAACATTTGCAGAAGTTTGGGCTGCATGCTATCCTATGTTATATAGTCAGTTCCAGAAAAAGGCAAGCTCCTGAATCCTTACTAAAGGAGGCTCTCTCTCTTTCTCTCTTTCTCTCTCTCCATTCCACTTACTTCCTGTTTTTTCCGCTCATCCTCGACCAGGACCTTCTTGTGATCCTGGCACTCCTTCACGGTGCACTCAGAGCAGATGACCCGCTTCTCAGTCCTACAGTAGAGGACCAAGGGCCGGCCATGCCTTGGGCACTCCTTCCCTTTAACAGGGGTGGTCTTCTCCTCTCTAGGTGCTGGCACTTCTCCTGCCCTGAGAAGATCTACCAGCGTATCAAGCTGGACCGTCTTGTTGAGTTTTAGCCTCTCCGGGAAGGTTTTTCGGCATTCAGGGCAAGTGTAGACTTTCTGGCCTGAGGGTCTTTCTTCTTCTCCTTCTTTGTCCCAATGGCTATTGATGCACTTCTCACAGAAGCTGTGCCCGCAAGGCATAGTCACAGGAGTGCTAAATATTTCCAAACAAATGCAGCAACATAGTTTCTCCTCCAGCTTTTGTGAGCCTGCAAAAGCCATGATCGTGTCTGAAACACAAACAGCATGTAGGAAGAGAAAATGAAACTGCTGTGACGGCAAGTAGGAGGGCTTGGCTTAGAAAGAGTCACAGCCAGCCGGGCTCTTAAAGAGACAAGATTGGCAGAACAAGAAAGGCTGCTTTATGTGCAACTTGACAGATATGGGAAACCAAGCTGAGTTTCTGATCTGCAATTCTCCGTTTAAAATGCAAATTTAGATCACAGCCACCACCTAATTAATTCAGTGGGGGACACAGACCTGATTGTAAGAAACTGAATTGTATTTCTTCTGAGGTTCTGGCCTGGGATCCCCACTTCTCTGGAATTGCCTTCTCCCAGAAGCTGCTGCTTTGAGTGGCTGGCACATAAGAAAGTGCCATATACAGAATCAAACCATTGGCTGTAAAGATGGTGCTATGAAGCTTCAACAGCACTAATCATCCTAATCACAGGAGAGATCAGCAGCACAAGGAAACAAATAAAAAGCTGTGGCCCAGAGACAAATTCTGAAAATGACTGACAAAAAAGAAATGTCAGCAATGATAGGAAGAAATGCCCCATCTGGAGGACTTATCTTGTATACCACTTCATTTTTTTATAAATCTCTATTTCTTTCCTCTGTTATTTTCTAAACTAGGAATCTGCAGTTGTCTACAGATTGTTTGGAGAGAGGGTGTGCTGTTCCCCTCCCAATTCCTGTTCGTTTTTCTTATACAGCTTTACTGTACATTACTTGAGATGAAATATCCATAATAAGACATTAGCCCAGGTGTGTGAGCTCTGTCAATTTATGACAGTTGTTACTTCCCACTCTCTTGATTCCTATAATTGAAACTGACTCTCAGTAAAAGGCTATTCAGTTGATGTTTTCAAATAATTTTCCTTTATGAGCCCAAGTTTATAATTCCTGTGTGACAGCTGAATCCCATTCAGGAACTTGTCAAATATATATGCAAATAGGTGAGGAATGAGACCAAACATGCTTTCCATATACTAACACTGAATTATTTAGCTAGTCTGTGGTCTAAGCCATGTGCCTTAGACGAATCCTTTGAAATTCTTCCTGATCTTCTTGTGATACTGTTAAACCTAACTTCATGCTAAGATTTTGGATTAACAACCAGCCTGAAGAAAACAAAAGTCATGGGCCAGGGTGTGGACTCACCTCCCTCTATTACGATCTCCACACAAGAATTGGAGGTTGTTCATGACTTTGTGTACCTTGGCTCAGCAATCTCTGACACTGTCTCTCTAGATGTTGATAAATGCATTGGCAAAGCAGCTACCATGTTCTCTAGACTCACAGAGAGAGTATGGCTTAATAAGAAGCTGACGGTGTATACCAAGCTCCAGGTCTATAGAGTCTGTGTCCTGAGCACACTCCCGTACTGCAGTGAGTCCTGGACCCTTCATGCATGGCAGGACAGGAAGCTGAACACGTTCCATATGCGTTGCCTCCGACGGATTTTTGGTATCACCTGGCAGGACAAAGTTCCAAATAGAGTAGTCCTAGAACGATCTGGAATTTTTAGCATGTATTCATTACTGAAACAGCGACGTCTACTTTGGTTTGGGCATGTCATGAGAATGGCCGACGGTTGGATTCCAAAAGATCTCCTGTACGGATAATTAGTGCAGGAAAATCGCCCCAGAGGGAGACCACAGCTGCGATACAAGGATATTTGCAAGCAGGATCTGAAGGCCTTAGGAATGGACCTCAACAGATGGGAAACCTTGACATCTGAACGTTCAGCCTGGAGGCAGGTGGTGCATCGTGGCCTCTCCCAATTTGAAGAGACATTTGTCCAGTAGGCTGAGGCAAAGAGGAAGTCAAATCAGGGAGCTGGACAGGAGACAGATTGTATTTGTATTCAGTGTGGAAGGGATTGCCACTCTCGAATTGGCCTTCTCAGCCACACTAGACGCTGTTCCAAGTCCTCCATACAGAGCACGTTACCACAGTCTCTCAAGACTGAAGGATGCCTACTACAAAACTCATGTCATCTACAAAGAAATGTATAGTAGGTATTCAGCATGCAGTGATCTGACTTCTGAACCAAGATATGAAAAGTTCAGGTTCAAGTCCCCCAATCAACCATGAAATTCACTGGGTGAGCCTGGGTCAGTCCCTGACATGACTCACCAGATTTTTATGGGGACAAGAAACATGGGCAAAAGGCAAAATAATAATGTAACCAATAGTGGCTTCAAAATCCTTTCTCTTAAGAAAATATGCTTCTTGTATTTTCCTTTGCCTGACCTGTGCTGAATGCCTTGCCTAGGAAACATTTAAAAAAAGAGGGAGAGGGAGGAGAGAGAATGGGTGGTGTAGTTTTATATAAAAATATAAAAACACCTACGTGTTGAATGGTAGAAGAGTTCTGGAATAAGGAACAAAGTGAGGTCTTGTTATCTGGCTATGGTCCTGATTACACTGGTAAAAGAACTGGCATTTGAAACATGTTTGACTAAAATAGCTTCTGGTTGTTGTGGGTTTTTCGGGCTCTTTGGCCGTGTTCTGAGGCCGCAGAGACTGGCGAAACGTTAGGAAGAACAACCTTCAGAACACGGCCAAAGAGCCCGAAAAACCCACAACCATTAGATCCCAGCCGTGAAAGCCTTCATGAATATACAATAGCTTCCATGATTTAAAAAAAAGCTGATCACACGAAGCACAGTGGATCTCATTTCCCACCCACCCCTGGACTCCCGTTATTCTTCTCAGAAGCACATCATTTGACCTCCTCCTGGCAGGTTCATTTTAGCTTGAGGCTGAATCGCAGTCTAATGCTTCAAATTGCCTGCCCTCTGCCACCCTGCTCCTTGCCTGCCTGTCTCCTCACTTGCTCCCTCTGCCTGATCACACCCACCCTCTTTAGGTAACCAGCAGAGGTGGCCAGGAGAGGAAGGAGTGATGGGTAGGCAGGCACAGGGAGCCCGGGGTCGGAGAGGAGGACATGGGCAGTCCAGTGCAAGGTTGGAGGAGCGAAGAGTTGTCTTTGGGGAAAAAATGCATCAAAAGCACAGATCCTCATGGATCTACATGATTTCCACGTAGGATTATCTTCAAAACAATCTCAATCATAGAAATCATCTCTGCCCAAACTTGACAGTGGTTTGGGGATGATCCCACATTATTATATGGATTCAAGAGGTTCCCTGCTTAGATCAATATTTTTGCATTGCTGTAAAGCCAGGCTCTTTTCTCTACTGCATTCTATGGATACAAATAGGAACAGCTGGAGCATTCTTAAACGGACAGAATCTACTACAAGGACAAGCATCTTATCCCTCTCTCTCCTCCTCAATTCACCACAGCATTTGGGGCAAGTGGGCAGAATGAGGGCAGAATGGGCGAGCCTAAATGAAATGATTTTAAAAGCCTATCCAGCCCCTACAACACAGTTTAAAATGTATTAGAACTTCTCCCAAGAGGAGCAGTTTTAAAAATGCAACGCCTTAATCACTATCTCAAGGAGACGCAGGCAGTGACTGTCACGATTTTCAAATCGCAGCAGAAAAACTCTTTTGCATATTGAAGGGTTAATCAGTAGTGTAGCTAAGCCCTATCATAGATAGTGATATGTACATATATAAAAACAGGTAGTCACCTTATTCTGCCCCATCCCTTAGTCAGCATGAAACCTTTTATTCTTTCAGATAATTCATTTTGCTTTCCTGCAAATGTGTTCCCAGAAATAAAGAAATATCACCTGGATTACATTATACAAGTGAGACTTTTCACACTGGTTTGTTAGTAAGCCTCAAATGAACAAAGAATGAGGTTAACTGCAGTGCAAGACACGTATTTTTGCTGTTCCGTTCAGTTTTATTCATTACTGCCCTTCAACCCACATGAACACATTCTCAAACCCATGCCTCCATAACCATGAAATTATATTAACAGATACTCTAGACAGTCTGACACCACTGATGTCTGTCATTTCTCCAGTGTGCTTCTTCCACTTTCCATTATGATTTTTAACATAGGTTTATTCATACTTTAAATGCCATACATATTGCAGCATTTTTGTAGCCACTGAGCATCCACGTATTGTCTGATACGGTTCAAATGAGCATGTGCTACTGAGATGGCTCAACAATTCAGTGGCAAAGCCAACTGCCTTGACTGGAAGAATCGCTGGCTTTTGAACTTCTTTACTGCAAGAGTGTATTATTCATGGCAATTCATACACAAGCTGGAGATCTGCTGCATCAGCCTTTCAAATGGTGAGCGAGGGGACTGATGGTTTGTAGCAAGCCCCACTGTGCCCCTTGTGCTTCCCGATTTCTGGATCAGATGTGTGACTGATGTGTAGAAACCTTGTTGCACAGTAGCGGCTCAGTTCGCAGCCCCATTGGAATAGAAGAGTGGCAGGTCCCTCAGTATCTTTTGTAGACAGGTTCATCGGTATCCCTGTACCTGTCCAGATACCTCAGAGGCTGGCGGTGGGGAAACCTCTTCTGTGGAGGGTGATACGGGGGAGGCCGCACAAAGTCAAACACTGGCTCCTTCATATCTGCAAGAGGCAGGCATGTCATCTCAAAGGTTACAAACACAGCAACCATTATGTTAAAGCCCCTACCATCTCAGATGCCATTTATTTGAAATGAAAAACATAACAAATGGGTTGATTAACAGCACTTTACTTTGTCTTTTGTTTCTAGTCATCTCTGACTTCTCTGTTTCAGACACTTGTACAAAATGCAAGGAGCTCCATCCAGTAACTCTAAACCAGTTCTCCGCAAAATGATGTTAATCCACAGATGTGTTTTGTTATTCCAGTGTGTTCTGGGTCTGTAAGCCTCCTCTTCCCCAGACTGCTCTATGTGAAGTTCAGAAACGTCGGAGTAAAATCATGCAGATTTCTTACCTAAACATGGCTGAAAGCTCGATACAGCCAGACAATTTCTGATCTGCACCAGTCACAGAACACAATCTGAATATGTAATCTATTAATGCAAGAAACTTGGCTTGTGTTTAAAAAAAACCCCAAACTGATACAATTACAGCTAAATATCTAATGTCCACGTTCTGTAAAATCTCACATGAAAAATATATAAATTGACTTAATAGAATGTAATTGACTCACGGGTTGTTATTTTTACTTCTGACCACAGAGTTTTAATGCAGTATTTTAGACAATGTAATCTTATACTTACCGAGAACCTGGTGAAAGATCTTTGTAACAGAATCATCCCAATGGCACTGAAAGAATGCCAGCCCTGCTGGTGTCATGTCACTCTGATGCTTCTTGTAGAAGTCAAATGTCTTAAAGGTTCTCATATTTAGGCTGTGGCTGATGGTATGAGTAAACACACAAGGTGAAATGGACACTTCCTATGAATGTCTCCAGCTATCATTATTACCTTATTTGACACTCACTGACCCACCCCTCCTTTTCTCAGTAAGGATACATTCAAAAGACATTCACCGAAATCCTGTTGTTCAGTATAGGTAAGTTGCAACAAGAGCATGCTCCATTGAATTCGTGGGGATTTGGAGAGTCAACTCTCCCATACATTCCACTGATTGAACAGGTTGATTTTAATTGCAACTCATTATGCTAAGCGACAGGATTTCAGCCACTGTTACACTGGCAACGTAGATATACCCAGTAGCTTTAAGCAGCAAATGATTCCCCAAATTAGCAAGAGTAATTGTAAACTGGTGTGGATACGTATGTAGGGATTTTTTCTCACTCTACTGAAAAAGCAATCACCCTTTTCTTGGATTCTTTCAGGAAGATGACAGATTTAAACTGGTTTAAACTTGTAACACAGCCATCTTAAGAAGAAAGAATCTGTATGAGATTCTTCCTTAGTTTTGTGGTGATTCCGACTGGTTGTTTCTCTTATTCCTTCCACTATCATTTTTAGCATTGGGCCTCCACGCTGTTATCCTGCAAAATGGGAGGGAACGTTTAGCTGCTTGATACGAGAGAAAAAGTGAAACATGTGGGACGCTCACATCTCCCTCCATCTAATGCAGGAAAGGCAAACCTTTAAAGGTCTGAAGGCTGAATACATCCCCTCTATATGTGAAAGGTCTGCAATCCCCCAACCCACTATTTCCAAGCCCTTCACACTCTTTGTTGAGCACTTGGGAGGGAGCAAGCTCACTAGGCTTGGGGGAACTACCTCTTTTGGGTCTGTTTTCAACATTGGAAGTGACTTTGGATCATTTCCAGTTTTGAAAAGGCCTCTCTCCTCAAGGTGTGGGTGGGTAGGTGTGGGGACAACATTCCCCCTCTGAGGTCACCTAGAATGCACACAAAAGGTTCCAAATGGTGAGGGAGGGGGACTGGTTATTTGAATCAAGCCCCAGTCTGGTCCTTGTACTTCCCAATTTCTGGATCTGACAAGTGACTGATGTGTTTCCTGTGTTGCACAGGAAAAAAAAGAGAAGGAAGAGTATTAGAGGAGAGCTGGAATTTCAGACCACTCCAACACATCTCTGCTTGCAAGAACAGCATGTTGACGGAGCTCTTCAGAGCAACACATACTGCTAAGTAAAGAAGAGGGAACAATGGCGATTTCCTATAGGGGGAAACAGCTCCTTATAACACATTATTCTATATATGTTTATTAGCTTTAACAGGATAATAATACTATTTCTCAGTGTGTAAGAGAGCAGTAAGATTCAAGTTGGAGAGTGCAATAAAGTCCCTTAAATTGATTTAAGAAACGCAATCTATACAAAGGAATCACTTGCATGAAGGCTATTTTTAAGGGCACATAATAAAAGAATTAGACAGAAGCATATCAAATTAAACAGACTAATACAATCTGTGACTTGATTTCTAAAGAAAGAAACCTAGAATTCCTCAGTTCAGGAAGTCATATCTTACAGAAGGGTTTCAACGTTTGAAATGATCTTGGAACTCATATCCCTGTTTTCCCCTGAAGTGATGTTCTATTGAACATTCTTAGTGTACAGTTATTAACCTACCTTCTAAAACTCAGAGAAGCCCTGATGGCTCACCACCCTTTCGTAAGAAATCAAAAGGACTCAACAATTACACTACACAAACTGCAAAGTGTTACCATGGTTTTGGCCGGACATCTTCAGTGAAATCAATTTGTTGGTCCTGCTTGAAAAGGAGGAATACGTAGCGATGGTATCCAGTTCCTTTTGCAGGGAATGCAGGGAAGTAATGACAGATCTCTTCACCCTCCTCTATCCTGTTACCTGGAATGTTTGCCCTGTTGGTAGAAAACATGGTTCAAAGCCAACTTTGACTGCCATTACATGTCTGAATAGGCATGGAATGATCCTTTTTCTAAACAAAACTCCCAGTGCCATAACCCTACCAGTAACAAGGGAAGTACTCAATACATAAAAACAGGGGATTCTAAGCAGTGCTTCAGGAAATCTGGGGCGTCTCAACAAGAACAGCAAAAACAGTGGATGAAGCTTCCTTAAATACAGCCAGGCTCCTGCAGCTGACCTACCTTAACAACATATGTCCTCAGGATGCAGAGAATTATAGGTACTTTCAAAGGGTCACTGATCAATGCTCTACAACTTCTAAGGATCAACTCTTATATCCTTGGTCATACCGTAGGGTCCTCTACATCAGTGGTCCCCAACCTTAGGTCTCCAGACATTCTTGGACTACAACTCCCAAAAGCCTTTACCACCACCTCTGCTGGCCAGGATTTCTGGGAGTTGAAGTCCACGAATGTATGGAGGCCCAAAGCTGGGGACCACTGCTCTACATGACACATGGGTTCCATGACAAATGTGCAAATGTTTGTCAGTAGACAAGGCTATGAAGGAAGGGTATTTTGAAGGTAGAGAATTTTGAAACAACTGCCCTGTACTGCTTCTTTGTACAACAACTGTAACCTTTTAGCTTTTTATCCTCCTCCTTCCACCCATACTTGCGCCTCTGTTAACTTCCTCCAGCTGCATGAGACAACAAATAGACACTTCTATATATAGTGGTGCCCTGCACAGCGAGGTTAATCCGTTCCGGATTAACCTTCGCTGTGGGAAACATTGCACTACGGAACACAAAAAGGCATTGGAACGCATTAAACAGCGTTTAATGCGTTCCAATGGCATAGAATACTCACTGTTGTGCGATGTTTCCCAGGGGCCGGCAGCCATTTTCGCGCCCTCCCCTCGCACAACGAGGGCGCCAAAATGGCTGCCATCAGCTGTCCGGCGGGTCCAAAATGGCCGCCGGAACAGCCGAAAGGGGCCAGGGCGCAGCGTTTTCGCACCCTTGGTAAGCAAGGGGAGTGCGCGAAAACGCTGCCGGAAGCCCCGAAATGGTTGCGCGCAGCGATTTCGGGGCTTCCGCAGCGTTTTCGCGTGCTCCCCTTGCTTACCAAGGGCGCGAAAAGGCTGCGCCCCGGCCCCTTTCGGCTGTTCCGGCGGCCATTTTGAAGCCGCGGAACAGCTGATTGTCGGGTTGCAAAGCGTTCTGCGATTTCCCGCCTATATGGGCACCGTTTTGCGATCGCATTTGCGATCGCAAAAACGGCCTCGTAGAGCGAATTCATCGCTCTACGAGGCGCCCATTGTGCGAGGCACCACTGTAATTTAATATTTCAGGATTAATTTCTTTGCTGGCAGTTCTGTGTCCACATAAACATGTGATACTATAAAATCAGATCATTGATCAGCATAGCCCAGTGTGCCACCTCATTCTGAAAATGCTGAGGATCAGGGTGGATTTGATTTAAATCATTATTTAAATTTTTAAAATTTGGTTGTTGTTTTTTGCCCTTTACTTTTTAAAAAAATTTAAATTATGAATTAAATTATGATTTAAATCAATTTGGTTTTAAAAAATCATTGATTTTTAATCCACCTTGCTGGGGAGTGAAACTTGGACCTCTATGCAAAACGTATGCTGCATCACTATAGCATCCTTCATCTACACGTTTCTTGACTGACTGTTTTCTACCCCAAAAAATTACAGTCGGCTTCAGCTTTCCACCTGGAGCCAGAAACATTACTTGCACATCCATGGGCAAGTCTAAGTTAGCCTGAGCACAGCATGATAAGCTGAATACTGAGATTCAGTCCATGTTTACATAAAGCCTGAAAGTGATGCTGATGGAAAGAGGGAACAGCAGCCAATACTCACACCAACCAGTGGACATATTCCAAATTGGAGTCACGAAGGTGTCCATCTGTGTACACAACACAAAAAGTCAGTTAAGTGACGGTTGTTTCTCTGTAGTTTAACCCATGCTGTAGCTGCTCTGGTTTCACAAATATTTCATTTCCCTGCCCTACCATGAACAGGCTATATAATAAGTCTGCTTACATTCTTCACCATAGCGGCTCATTCTGCTTTATCACTATGGCCTGACTTCCTTGACTAGAATCCTCTTATGCAACTTTACACTGTGCAACTGGGATGATGTCATCAACCATGGATGTTTCGGGGGGAAATTAGAAGTTTCCTCCTTCCCCAGTTTCCAAGGATCTCTTTCATCCTGGGGAAGCCCTCAAGAACGACAGAACTCTCTCTCTCTCTCTCTCTCTCTCTGTGTGTGTGTGTCTCATGTCTACAAATCATTGCAGCACCATAATCAGGACTGGTAACAATAATTTTTCAGACATTCTTCAACTCCCATAGGCTTCCCCTGAACCTTGGGGTGGGGAAGATAGAAAACTTCTAATTCCCCAAAAATGACAGTAGCTGATGACATCATCCAAGTTGTGCAGTGTAAAGTTGCACAACAGGATTCTAGTCACCATGTCTTTTAAAATAACCCAGTTGTGACAGAGTTACTTCAGTAAAGGAGGAGGTACTCCTCCTGTAGTCCTCTCCCATCATAAGGACCATGCTATACACATCAGAAGGGAAAACTCCACACAGTAAATCTCTACACCAATGCTGAAAGCCAGTATGATATAGTGGTAACAGGTACAGTTCCCCATAGGACCGTGAAATTCATTGTGTAGCCTTCAGCCAGTTGCTTGCTCTCATAAGCTTGGTGAGAAGTAAAAAAGGGGAGGAAAACAAGAAATGCTATCTTAAACTGCTTGAAGGAAAAGCAAGATATACATGTAGTAAAAATATACATGCAGCAGTAATAAAAGCCAAACTGACCAAGTCTCGCTAATTAGACAGGATTTAACAAAGATTATTTTAACTGAAGAATCAGCTTTTTTGCAGAACTGAAGCACATTGCTACTCCATAAAAGAAACCCCAAATTTTCTAGAATGCTTTCCAGTCTGTTTCTGCTGTTTCTGAAAAACCCGTTCTTTCATCAGAAACCTATTAAAAAACAAACAATATTACTGCTCTGCTTCTAAGTCAAGAAGTATCCTCCAGAGATTCATTCTGCACTCACCCAGATTAGTGAGCAGCAGGGTCCATAAGGATCCTTCATCTGCTTCAAAAGAGACTTCAGGAGGGTTAAGAGCCTACATGGAAAAAAGCAGTTGAAACATTTGCCTGTGGTTCTTAATATAACAGGTTTGAATTTCATTTCATTTCTTGCCTATCACCGTTTTCTAGTTCAGCCAGGTGCAAACAATTTACTTTATTCCTCTATTACAGTTAAGATAACAGAAAGTGACATGCTTTAACATCAGTCTCATGTGGCATGAAGTGGTAGAGAAGGACAGCAAAAACAGGGTTAGTTATAAGCATACAGTAACAGGTGAGAGAGTTCAGCAGATGTCTCACTGAAAAGCTATGGAAAAGCATGTCCATTCCAAAAGCAAAGGCTGGGTGAAGAGAATATGTTTATGGATGCCGGTGCAACAGTGACATAAATGGTTGAAAGTTAAGGGTCTGAAACAGCTACTCTGCTACATCATGGATATGTTATCCAACAGGTTTGGCTGGGCACAAACTCTTATTTAAGTGGCAGGTCAAGGGCTTTAATTCTCCAAGGATCTGAATGAGTGACCAGCTGTGGTCAGCTTTGGCATAGTAAATAGCAGTCAGGGTAGGCCCATTTGAATCAACTGAACTTACAAAAATGATGACTCATGAAACCCCCATTGATTCAATGGGCCTACTTTAGTGCAATTTACTACAGTAAACAACAGGATTTTGGCCAAAAGTACATATATAGGACTCCTCTGTTGGCTCCTGTACAATTTCAGACTGCAGTTTAGAGCTTCTGCTGGTTTTTAAAAATGGTATTTAAATAATCAAGAAATAACATATGGGAAATCATATTTAATTGTTCTTCTACAGAAGCTGTAGAAAACCAGCACAAGGAATAACAATCTTCACCACCATATATTATATTTTAAAGTTACTGCAAGGTGAACAAGGTTATGTGTGATCAACTTACGGATGTACAAGTACTCCTTGCACATCATTTGTGCAGGATAAAAAAAAGTTTGTAAAATGACAAAGAGAATTCTCCCTTCACCTTCAAAATAACTACTAGAGTGACCAAGGCAAAAACAAAAACAGAAATACAAAATACATATCCTTTCAGTTTATACACTTGGTATGATACCTCTGTAGGTGTGATTAAATTCCCACAATAAACTGGCGTAACATGTTCTTCATCTTGGCTATATTCCACTCTCAGAATAACTTGGGGAAGAAATGTGGCATCACCAAATAAGTCCTGGTACAGCCCGTAGTGTTCTGCTACTCGTTGCTTATGATATGGGCCACTGGTTCTTTCCCATTCAGCCTTGACATCATCAAGTGGAATCAACACTGCAAGAAGAAAAAGAACTCTGGGGAATACTGAGCAGATATGTGCTTGCAAAGAAACAAAAAGGAACTATAATAGACATACATGTATTCAAGCGGGATGCTCTTTCCAGGTCTGGATTTTTTAAATTTTGTTTCCTTATGTGTTTTCTCTCCTTAAGTTGTTCCTTCCAAGCTGTCCGAAAGCGAGGTAGACCTATGTCTATCTTTGGTTCTTCATGGAGGGTAGAAGAAGAGCAAATACACAAAATCAACCTCACAATATACTTTATTCTACAACTGTGCTAAAGGACTAATCATAAATCCCTGAGAAGTTAGATGGGCCTAACATGTTACTTCATAGTAGAACACTACAAACCACTCACTGCAGTAAAGTACAGTGGTGCCTCGCACAACGAGTGCCTCACACAACGATGAATTCACACAACGATGCCTTTTTCTGTCAAATTTGGGGAAAGGGCTCTTTGATCTCCGTTTGCCTTTCAAAGTTCTTCCCGACCTCCCTTTTCGCTCCTGTAAAAGTGTCTTACAATGTTTGGAAGCTGTTTTAAATGATTGCAATGGTTAGCCCACCTCCTGAAACCTATGCAAACTGATTTTGGTGTTGTTCTGACACTTCGTTAATTTATGATGGTTTTTTGTTTTTTCCATTGAAAACCATTAGACAGACCATCCAATGGTTTCCTATGGAGAAAAAACAAAAAATCATCATAAATTAACGAAGTGTCAGAACAACACCAAAATCAGTTTGCATAGGTTTCAGGAGGTGGACTAACCATTGCAATCATTTAAAACAGCGTCCAAACATTGTAAGACACTTTTACAGGAGCGAAAAAGGACTTCGCAAAGGCATTGAAATGTATTGAGTCGGCTTCAATACATTCCAATATAGGAAACACTGTTTCACTCAACAATGTTTCCTATGGGGATTTTCACTGAACGATGGCAATCCGTTCCAATTGGAACGGATTAACCGGTTTTCAATGCATTCCTATGTGAAATGGTGTTTCACAGAACGATGTTTCACACAACGTTGATTTTTTTGGAACCAATTAACATCGTTGTGTGAGGCACCACTGTACTACTCCCCCAGAGCATCTAATTAGAAGTGAAGTGTACACATCCACCCATCGCTATGAAATGCGCATACATCTCTTTAAAACATATAGGTTTGGTACAGGCCTGTCAGTTTCCATTCCAGCTATTTTGCTTTTTGAACTGCCAACACAGCTATTAAAAAACACATCTAAATGCAAAATGTGGGCTGCCTATTTCCTTGCATTTGTTATTTCTCACAGCTCCAGCACAGGTATCAAATGAAAATTTCTGCTCAGAGCCCAATGCTATCCATATTTACTATATGTTCTATTACACTCAGTAGGACTTACTCCTTAATAGTATGTGCATAACTGTGCTTTGCAGAGGAAGAAGCAAACCACTGGTAGAAGGGAGCAGAAAAAGGAAAACTGTATCCCCGTGAATACCTTGCTGAGGAGTGATGTGCTTCTTATAGGTTGACCACCAAGGAAACTCTTTACTCTTTTCCTCTGCTACCTTGAAGTAACGAGTGAAGACACGGTATTTTTCCAGTGCTTCCAAATTACTCACATCAATATCTTCATTAGGCATTGGTCCCAAAGGTATCCCACGTAAGCAGAGTAAAGCTGAAAACAAAAATGGTTTTATGTGCCTGATTAGCAGTACAGTACAGTAAACTAAATCCAGTGTTCACTGGAAGGACAGATTCTGAAGCTGAGGCTGCAATACTTTAGCCATCTCATGAGAAGAGACAACTCTCTGGAAAAGACCCTGGTGCTGGGAAAGTGTGAAGGCAAGAGGAGAAGGGGACGACAGAGGATGAGATGGTTGGACAGTGTCATCGAAGCAACCAACATAAATCTGACCCAACTCTGGGAGGCAGTGCAAGACAGGCAGGCCTGGCGTGCTCGGGTCCATGGGGTCACAAAGAGTAGGACACGAGTTAATGACTAAACAACAACAAAAACTAAATCTGCACTTGGGTTTCTCTTATACAAGTGAAATTATTTCAGGAGCACGGGGATAAAAGAGAGACAGTAACAATACATAACAGATGCAAAAGTGGTGGTGGGATTAAATACATATTTTACCCTTTAAAACTTGAGTCTATTAGCAGAAACCTCTAAATCACCATTCTAAAGATGGCTTATGGTGGATGAAAAAATTATATCAGATTTTTGAGGCAATAAACTCAGTCTTATGTTCATTAGTTTCACTTTGAGTGAAACATTGAACATTGCAATACATTAAATTGTACACAAATCATTCTCTTTGGTAATTTTCTTTCTTTTTTTCTTGTAAAACTTTGAGAAAAGACTAATGCATTCTTCTTACAACCTTTGTTGTAAACTGCCCAGTGAGTGAGTGTGTGTGAGAGAGAATACGTACAGTATATACATATGCAAATAGGTGTTTCCCTCCAAATTTAACTCTTAAAACTAGACATCCTCTGGATTTGAGATTGAGACTTAAGGGGGTGTGGGTGTGTCTCCCCAGATGCTGGACATGAGAGCAGATGATCATCAAAAGAATACAGAGAATATCCTCAAAGACGTCCAGTTCCCGAGCCACAAACTATGCAGCCTGGGCGGGGGCGGCAGCAGCGAGTGCTCTGCCTTGAGAAAGGTGGTTTCCAAATATTGTACCTACAGTCCATGCCTCAACACTCCTCTTAAAGCAGAGGGTTGCCTGTACTGTATGGCGAAAGCACAAGGCTGTCGCACCTTTGCCACCCCAGGAGAGCTCTAACGGGGAAACAGGGACCTCCCAGACAGAAGACCAACCTGCAATTTGAGGCACGAAGAGTCAAACCCATCCAAGGAAAGGAAGGAAAGCGCCGAAGCCCCCGTGTTTTCACTCCCCAAGTGTCGAAGCTACAAGGAGGAAAACAACAACACGCCCCCCCCCACCTTCCGAGGCAGTGAGGACAGAGGCCACCCCTTACCGGTCGTGCTAAAACTTCTTCCCCTCCGGACTCCATGCAACACAGCCTTGACCGCGGGCAGCGCCATTTCGCCCACTTCCACCTCCCTGCTGCTCTCGGAAGGTCCTCTCGGAAAGCCCGTCTCATGTGGATGACGTCACCGAGGAGAGCCTGTCCTCGCGAACGCCTGCTGAACGACAAGAGTAAAGCCAGCCAACAACAACAAAAACCCGGTCAAAACCTATGTGTATCTGCTTAATTTTTTTTAAATTAAGACTTATCTGACACCTTATAAACATATAGAGCTAAACTTTTTTTTTCCAGCCGAAGTTTTCGTGGAATGCACGGTCCACTTGCATAATGTAAAAATTAAAAGTAACAAATAGTAATATCGCGGGCACTTTGGAAGATCAACAGGGTTACTGCTAGAGCCCAGGAGCACCACAGAAATGCATCCAAAGGGCTGCAGCTGTGAAACCGGAATTTTTCTAGTCCTGTTTCACATGAAATGTTGAGCGTGGGTTTGCATCAAGACCATCTGTGAAGAAGAGGGACCCACGAAAGTGGCTGAACCGAGAAGTGAGCCGTCTCCTCACTCGTTTAAGGCTGAAGGATTTGGCACCGTCTTTACTTGTATTGCCTTCAATGGTCCAAACCATGGCTTTGTGAGAAGGCGAAAGTTAGGAGAAGAAGGAAGCAGGAAGACAACGGGGAGAAAAGAGCAGCTGATAGTAGAGGGCTTCTTAATGACAGAGGAAGGAAGAGATGTACTAATGGGATTGAATGCAGAAAGAGGGAAAAGGAGTTGGGGATCAGAAGAGTGGGAAAGTCCCCAGACGGAAGTTAGAGACGAAAAGCTGCTGCCACGGGGTGCAAAAAGGGCCCTATGTATTCTCCCCCCCCCCCAAAAGGACGACAGAGGGAAGAGAAACCTGAGGGGAAAAGAAAGTGTGGGAACTGAGGCACAGTTGGGAGAGGTAGAACCTTTACAGTGGACCATGTACATTTACCTGAGAGGGATTCTTAATGACAGAGGAAGGAAGAGATGTAATGGGATTGAATGTAGAAAGAGGGAAAAGAGGAGTTGGGGATCAGAGGAGTGGGAAAACCCCCAGACGGAAGTTAGAGAAGAAAAGCTGCTGCCACGGGGTGCAAAAATGTATTCTCCCCCCCCCCCAAAAAAAAGGATGACGGAAGAGAAACCTGAGGGGAAAAGAAAGTGTGGGAATTGAGGCACAGTTGGGAGAGGTAGAACCTTTACAGTGGACCATGTACATTTACCTGAGAGGGAAAGGTCCCTGGAAGAAGGTGGTAGGCCCAGATCTGATCCCTAAAGGCTCGACACGCTTGCTGCAGGACTATTTGTGCAGGGAGCAGTCACCCAATGCAGAAACCTACCAATCGCAAGAAGTTTGGAATGTCCCCACGTTAAAGGACTTGTTAGGGATGCCTGGGTTGCGCGGGATTTGGTCTGAAGCGTCTATGGTTACTGGTAGAGATGGAGATGACTCACCATTTTGGCAAGTTGTCCTGCTTCGTGAGTCGTCAAAAGTTGAAAACTCACAAAGCATGAGGTTGCCCCCATGAACCGACAAATAACAATTTTATTCATCAATTTGGGGGGGAATTCTTAAAAAACAAAACAGCCACCCCCACCGCATCGCTGCCATCACCTGGAGGGGAGTTCAGCTCTTCTGGGGTGTCTGTCTCTACCTAATAGCCTTCCCGGGACTTTTCTAAGGCATCTTCCCAATTCTCCTCCTCTTGAATCTCCCCCACTATCAGATCTGCACCACTTGCTTTCTGTCTCCCTTCCTCCTGGGTGTGCTCCTTTCCCACCTGAAGGGCACTCTTTATATCCCATACCTGCCAGGGTCTCTTTCCCTGTGGTGTGTGTGTTCCCCTTTGTCTGGGTTCTTGGCCAGCATCCACTCCCTGGGGACTTCTGCAAGGAGGTTCTAGACTCCTGGGTCTTGGGTTCTCTAGTCCTGAGCTTCTTAGGTACCCTCTCTGCCCAGAGTGCATTGCCCTGGTCAAATGGGGAGCTGGTGGCCACAAATTCCCCTGGTTCAGAGGAAACAGTCCACACACTGTGCCCAAGTGCCAGTGCCTTCCTCCTCACATAATACTGTACAGTACATTTGTAAATACTTTGTTGCCTGTTTCCATCCCACATTTCAGAGTCATAACATGCTTCTCAATTGCTAAATTGTTTCTTTTTGTAGTTTTCCTCTTTAGCATAAGTTTCACTTTCTGAACTTTTTACCCCTTTCCTTACCCATACCTATTCCTCCTTACCCCCTATACCCCCTACTTCAATTCCTATTCCCATTGAAAATGAATATAATATAAAATAATTGTGTTTGTCAAAAGGCTCAGAAAGCATAACAGGCAAATAGAGGAGCACTGTCCTCCACTATTACAGCCATGGGGGAGGGGCTCTCTTACCTGTGCCACTTGCTTTTTCCATTATCTATAAATAAGTAAGTACATGCTTGCTTAGAGGCAGTTTCAGTGTAAAGCAACTTCATGACATGCACCTTACTGTGCTTAAAACAGTGCATAGAGTTCAATTTTAAAGAGGAATTGAGCTTCAGCTGGGTGAGAACCCTTCCCTCTTCTTGTCTTGTGGGTGGCTGGATAGTAGTGGCCACAGAGTATGGTGGCAGTGGCTTCTTCAGTGACCAGGGAGACCCCTCACTGCTGCAACATCCATTCCTTGGCCACTGCCATCCAGCCACCGACTGGGTAGGCAAGCCCTGAGGCAGCAGAGTCCTTGCATGCTCCATGTTCAACAAAAATGGAACTGGCCTCCCCAAGACAAAAGCAACGTTGCAGGCTTTCCACCTACTTTTGCACTGACTGACAAGTGTTTTTGTTGATGGGTGGGGGAGGGAGAGGGTGCAGCCAAGAGCTCAGTTTTTGCTGCATTAGAACCGGTGCATGATTGGAACAGTTCTTCTCCAGTTTGCAGATAACACTCAGTAAAAAGCTTATTGTGAGCTATCACCTGTCTACAATGTATAATTCCCACCTGGGTGTAGCTTTCCACTCATCAGGTCAGCAGAGAGCTAAGGTCAACTATGCCACTAATAATGCTTAAAGAACAGTTACTGCCATACCGAGATTCTCTTTCTTAGAAAGAGGGCTCATATATACCATCCACACTAAACCTCTCTCAGGGCAAGGCAGTGGCAAAACCTAAGTATGGTGTCTAATTATATTCTCAATTCAATTCAGTTAAACTTGATTTTATTGCTTCAGCACAAAGGCCATGTCAAATTACATAATTAAAAACAACACAGGACAGTACAATGTAATAGTAATCCTGTTGGATTTCTGTTCAGGTTTAAAATACATTATATAGATATACAGTATCTAAGCACAGAACATTAATAGTAATTAATAGAACTAAACATAAATGGCAAATCAGTGATGAAGAGTCCTGAGTAAATCCATTGATCTTACTTTCAGCGTGGTTAGAAGCAGAACATGCAGCCTTTCTTTTTGAGTATGGAAAGAAACAATGCCATTTGAAATGTGAGAGATTTTTCCATATCTGAAAGTAACATTCTCAGTTTATCATTATCAGATCTTCTAGAGAATTGTTCCAGAATAGATTTCAGTAGTTTTGCATGCTCTACTGTGATCAAGAGGCAGTGAATATGTGCCAAATCCTCAACAGATTGCTGGAAGGAAAATACTTGTGTATCCTTTATTCATAACATCTTTGCTCCTGCCAATCCGATATGGTTGAGACTGTTGATAATGTTTCATTATATTAGTTATTTTGTAAAGATATTTGGAATACATTTTTAACTCTGTCATTTATTGTCTAGCTTGTTTTTTTCATTGTGACCTTTCCTGAGTACCTCATTAGGAAAAGGGCAGCTTAGAAATGAAACAGACAAATAAATACAATACATATTTTTCTCCTATTTTAAAAAAATTCCCAGGCAGATCTGATAAGCACTATGTTTACCTCCTCCTTTCAGATTTTTCAAGTATTCAAGGTTGCAAAATTCTGTGCAGTTCTATACATCTATCATAAACTGGCAAGACATTCTATAAATCGAACTGGAAACATGGTATAGTTGCACTGCATAGTGGCAGTGAGGTTTTAAATCTGCCCTTGCATGTAATGCTCTTTCACTTGAGATTATTGTTTTGTTTCAATTGAGTCCATCTTTAGCCAAGAAAACACAAATTCAGCCACAGCTGTGACCAGTACACCTGCTTTCACACTGACTGGGATGAGTTGTTATAGGAAGCTTTCTTCAAAGTTTCTAAGAAGAACTGCTCTTCTTCCAAAAAGTCATGATCCTGTTTAAAATAACAATAGCAGAGTGGTAGGAAACATTCATAGCAAACAAAAGGTTCCTATGTAGAAGAATCATAGAACAATGGAGTTGGAATGGGGTCTATAAGACCATGGAGTCCAACCCCCTGCACAATGCAGGAATCTTAATCAAAGCAGATTTGACAGAGGGTTCTCCCAATTTTCTCTTGAATGCCACCAGCCTTGGAGGGCTCACCACCTCTTGAAGTAATTGATTCCACTGTTGTACTGCTCAAACAGTTAAAACATTTTCAGCCTAAATCTGGCTTCCTGTAGTTTGAGTCCATTATTACATGTCCTGCACTCTGGGATGATCAAATACAGATCCTACTCCTCCTCTCTATGACTAAATTTCAAATATTTGAAAAGTGCTATCATGTCTCCCCTCAGTCTTCTTTTAGGTAGGCTAAACATGCCTAGTTCTTTCAGTCTTTTCTCAAAGAGGCTCCAGGTGTAAGTCTCCTCTGAGTAACAAAACCCATGGGAGGATATTGTGCCCACAAGTCTCTCTAAGCTGACCAATCTCACAGGATTGTTCTGAAGATAAACTGGAGATGTATACCGCCCTGAGGTTTTTGGAGGAAATTCACAACATATAAATATACCTAATCAATAGTTTTGCATGCCAGTCCATGCAAACATTTCAAGCTAAACTGAACTCTCCTTCAGATTAAAATGCAGCAAAGCTGAAAATGAAGCTACATAAAGCTAAGGAACATGAGAAGCTGATTAAAACCATGAAGAAAGAAACACAAGCCCAATGTAGACATAATGTTCCCAATCCACAGTGAATCAAAAGCTGGAGAATTTGCAGTATTCTTACCTGATCAGCTGTAAGCTTGTGTAGCACAAGTTTGGCATAGAGGTCTGCTGGTCCTAATCTTGGAAGATCTTGACAGGCTGTTGTGTTGTTAGGCTTGATTTTAGGAAGATCTTTAACAAGAGGAGACAAAAATGGGAAGAATATAAACTTAGTTCAGTTACAAAGTATGTTTATATACGTAAGACCCTGTTTAATTTTCGGGGAAACACAGTACCTACTGGGCAAAATCCTGCTGGTGTCATTCTGCCAACATAAATTGGATCTGGAAATAATTAAGTAAAATGAATAGAAAGCTTCATTTTGCCCTGTTTCCAAAGCTGCCTCAGGCTCCCTT